TACTGCAGTTGCCATCCCCAGGCCAGCTGATGGAGCCCTGCAGGATATCTGGTCTCTGATCAAGCTCTGGAGGTATAAATTACATTAGATGTTGTTAAATACAGGTTGTAGTTCTGTAGGAATCCATCAGAGTATCTGGAGAACAGAGGTATATGGAATGAGAGACATTGATAATGCATGTAAGAAAGCAAAGCAGACCTCAGAGCTTGAACATCTGAAGAAGGATGTGCCAAATCACAGCCTTATGTTGTGATGTGTTCTTGTATTCCCTGTTTGGCTTGGCCTGTGGAGTGTATTGCTGTAATGGTATGTGGTACTGAGGCTGTGTTAAGCCTTTATTATTAAACTCTTATAACTCCAGTGGGACTGACAGCTTGTGGTTTCTCAGGACCATTTCCAAAGCAGCACGCAATCATGTTGTTTTTTTTTGGGGAAGTTACTTTATTGCTGAAGTCTGGTTTTGCATTTCATTTTCTTTTTCTTTAAAAAACCCCTAAACAATCCTCCCCTAAAAAAAAAAAAAAAAAAAAAAAAAAAAAAAAAAAAAAAGGAGAGAGAAGTTATTGGTTCAGCTTCTTTGGTTTCCAATAGGTTGAGACAAATATCTACAAATCCTTGCAGGGAGAATCTGTAAAAAGCAATAAAAACTTAGTGACTTCTCAGAGGGACTTACTATAAAAATCTTAACTGAAATTTTGAAACAGCACTTAGGTAAACACACAGTTTATGTACAGTTCTTGTTTGAATGTGGATTATATTTGCAGTTCTCATTATGTGTTGTCACTGCTTATGTTTTGGTTTGTATATTGCATCTTCTTCAATTATGAAATCAAAGTAAGGATAGTATTTGTGTTGGAAATTAATCCATGTATTTGCTCCTGCGTGATTTTAAGAACTTGACACAACTGGGCTTTTAAGAGCTGTTTCCATACATCTCTTCTGTGCAGTACCCATGGTAAATGTTTATCTAGGGATGTGCATGGAGTATGAAACTTCAGGTGCTTTTCAGCATGGCTTTGTCTCCTACAAATCTGCAGTTGGTGCGGGTCATCAGTCATTTGTGAAGACCCAAATCTGCATTTATTTTTCTGTTCAGAAACCAGAGTACTGGAAAAGATACAGCAATGTGTTACAAGTAGCAGTTAAATACTAGTCTGGTGTCCAGAAATGCCCTGAGCTAAGGTGCACAATATATGCAGCAAGATGGATGATTTAATTTGTCTGTCTTGGGGACAGGGGAATGTGGTGCACAGTTATCCAGGCCCTGGATAAGGTAAGGTAAGGGGTTAGCAACACTTGAAGTTCATCCCTTGCCTTGAAATACAATCAGTCCACATACCTGGATGTCTTATCTGGAGTGTGGTATAAGTGCAGCAATAAATGTAGTCATCAAAGATTAGCTTGCATATGGGTTTTGTTTTTGTTTTTTCTTTTACTACAGAACAGGTCTGTTGAAGTCCTGTTGTGTTGCTTTGAAGGTGCATTCAGCTCTGGGTCCTGTATGGACCATTGTTGGAAATGAGTTTAAATTTGTTCCCAGGGAAGCATTGAGGGTCTTTGCAGAGTCTGTCTTCGAGCTCCTTTTTCCTGAATGAAATGGGACCCTTGTGTTGGTTTCACAGCAGTGGAGCAGGGTCTCATGAAACACTGCACACTCCAAAGGGGCTGTGGTGGAGTGCCTTCAGGTAGCCCTGCACAGCGCTGTTTTGTGGGGGATGATGGAGCACATTTGTATATTGGTTCAATTTGTGATTCTCTAACTGGATGGTGGGAGTGAGGGGAAGTGACCCAGAGCATAGGTCCCAATGCAATTTTGGGTTTAAGTTGACGCAAAGTGACCCAAAGCAACTTTGCAATCTGGCTGGTGAGGTCTCAGCCATCATTATTCCTGGCACTGAGTGCCTTCTAAATTGAGTGAGTGCTTGTGCTGTCTTTGCTTCTTCTGATGGATTGGATAAGATCCAGAATTACATTTGGATTTTGCTATATCGTGTTGTTTTGGGGGTTTTTTTTTCATTTTCTTTTTTAAGCTGCTAGAGCCACTGAAAAAAAGATTGTAGTTAACATGAAAACAGATGTAAAAGACTGGCACTGTGGCATGTGCAGCCTTAAGCTGTACATATTGGCAAGTTACTGTGTGTCAGATTTCATGATTTAGGCATAAAGGCTGCCCTTCAGTTAAGGCAGGAGGACAAAAATTTAAGCTTATTTATGGAAATAGGTATCTGAAAGGTTGGGGATTGCTCCTTCAGGCACGAACACTTCCTGGCACCTAAAGCAAGGGTGCATGTAAGTGGGTATGTTTTACATTGTATCTTAATGAGTTTTGAAAGATAGAGCCTTTGAAGATTGCCTTTGAAAGGTAGAGCCCACTCTGGGGCTTGGGGAAAGGCACTGGGCACAGACAGAGCTGCCACTTTGTCTCAGCAAAAAAGACCCCCTAGAAAGTCGGGGGATTTGGAACTGAGTGATGACTGGAAGAGATTTGAAAATAGAAGCAAAGAAACTTTTCTTTTTGAGTTCTGTGAAGCAGAACTCAGTGTATTTGCAAGTAAATCTGGCTTGCTTCAAAGAAATGTTTATCTCCATCAAATTCTGACAGAAATAACCTGTAGCTCTGAGTTTGGATGTGAGTAGGTTTTGGGGGTAGAAGAAAGGCGACATATTATTATCTTCTCAGCCTTTTCCAGGTTTATAGTTTCTTCACTTTTGGAGTGTTAATAACAGAAATAAACACAGTGTTTTAATAAAGATCCATTTTTAGTGAAATTACTTCTGGAGGTCTAGGGGGAGTTGACTATAATTCAGGTTATTCATAGTGAATTTGATTAGTTGAAACTAATAGTAGCATGAAGGACTGGATTGGAAAAGGGAGCTCCTAATCTGCTTGTAAATTGTTTTTTTTTAATATGAGGAAGATAATGTTCTCAGTTAAGGGAATGAAACATTATGCTATTTTGTGGGTTGCAATAATGTTATTAATTTGGTGCTTGCAGTGCTTTTCAGCCATTCTCAGATAAATCCTAATATTTCATGTGCAATGTTTGAATGCAAAATATATTTTAGGAAAATTAACAGCTTTTAAATTTGACATTAACTACAAAGCAGTACTTTATGTTGATAAAAATCTCAACAGTTTTTTAAAAGTAGAACCCCACACAGATACTTTAAAATTGATGACAAATGAAGTTAATGCAGTTAAAATGAATTAAACTCCTTGCTATTTAGAATAATATAATGATGTCTGAATTTTATTCCCAAAAGAGGAAATACAGTTGTTAAGTCCAGATGGATTTTTATTTTTGTTGGAGTGAGTTTTGAGACTAGCAATATCTTCTTTTTAATTTTTTTAACGTTACTACCATAGTGCTGGATCTGTGACAGCACAGACCTCCTTTTTCTAAATTCTTTTAAACCCAGTCAAATTAACAGTTCTTTATTAAAACAACAGTGTTTATTTTGAAAATTAGCAGTTTCTTATTGCATTTTTAAGAGTTGGAACATAAGCACCAGGATAATGTAAAATATAAAGAAGCCAAGAGCTCAGTCCTGTCAAGTTATTTTCAGCTCTAACATGGTAACTGCCTGTGATTGTAGCCTGCCTAAATTTCAAGTGATGCAGCAGGAGGTTAAGCTCTTCAGCAAGCTAAGTCTTCTTGTGCTTGGGCTTTTTGCCTTGCACTGAGGGCTTGCATCTTGGCAGCCTTTGTGGTGCTGCAAAGGATGTGTGGTGAGTTGATCACATCTGAAACCTGAGTGACAAAGAGAAATGTCAAAGGATTCAGACCATTTGTTTAGGTGAAGATGAAGGGCAGTTCAGCTATTGTTGTGTCAGTTTAAAGCTTCTCAGGCCATACAATTATTAATCCTATTGTGGTAGTTTGTTCTTTTCTGTGTTTTGCCCATTGGCAATTTGTCTCTAAGTTGTGGGCCCTATTTTGCTCCACTGTTAGGGAAATAGAATTTGGTCATCTTTCTCCTTCATTATAGGACTTCCATGAAAATAGATGGGAATCCAGGAGGCTTACTGCCAAAGTAAATCCTGGTTTGTCTCAAATAAGCATAAAGCTGGGAGAAAGTCCCATTATTGAGCATAACATAATGCAACTCCACTTGGAACAGATTATCAAATCATTACTGATAATTTTGCAAACAAATTCTAGGTTGGAAGGGTCCTATGTGAGGAAAATGAATGACTTATAGAGGGGTCTGGATCATGGGGTGAGCTGAGTGCAAGCAGGCACTAAGGGTTTCTATGGCCAAATGTCAAGTTGTATATATAAAAACTATGGTCTTTAAAACACAGTTGAAGCAAAGGGTGCCCCATCATATGAAACAGTGACTAAAAGTGTCAGGCATTAACTGGTGAGCAAGAATTGCCACTGCAGTCGTGGATAAAAGCTTTGTTGTGATTCCCAGATAGAAAAATAAAAGGGTATCAAGTGCAGAGGTTATATTATCTTGATGCTTGGCACATGTGTTGCATATAGTGCAAAGGTGAAAATATATTGATGAATTGAAATGCATTGAGTTGGAAGCCACTACTGTGAGTAAAGATATGGGAAACTTGGTGAGCATGGAGTGCAAGGAGCACAAAGTGCTTGGCTTAGCAAACCAAGTGTCAGGGAAGAACTGATCATAACAGACAAGTCCTCTAAGTGGGGACAAAATATTGGGAATACATTTGATAAGAAAAAGCTCTCTGGGCCAGCAGTCAAAGCATGTTATGATTCAGTTGACCAAGCTTATTAGACATTAAAGTAATTTATTTTCAATGAATTGTGGCTACTTCATTGGTTAACAGCACTGTGATTTACTGCATACTGCGTTGTTCTGCCTTTGCTAGGTGCCTGTTTTCTTTCTGGTTGGTGAAGAAGTTGTTCTGCTTCCTGGCAGAAGGGAGCACAAGGAATTGCTCGAGCAAAATAACAAAAAAAATGTTACAGCAAGAAATGCTGCTGAAAAAAAGGGGAAAATGAACTTGTACTCTTGTGTTACAGATTCAGTGGTTCTTTCCTTTGACTCCGTTGGACACACAATAGGCTCAGGTACAACATTGCCTTCTTCTCTATCTCCCACCTCATGACAAGGCTTCTACTTAACTGGACATGGTAGCCATGTTGGGAGGCAGGACACTGAGTCAGGCTTCTGTGGGAATCAACCATTTAGCCAAAGGGTAAATAGATCCTTTCCCAAGTGCAGTGGGAGTTTTTAGAGCCTTAGTACAACACAAGGATTAACCTGCGGGACTCTTCCCTTTCCCAGCGAGGAAGCGACCTGGACACGTGTTGATGATGCAGTTTGTGCTCCTCTTCTCATGTGAAAGGCATTAAGATGATGTCACCTACCAGCTGAAGAAAAACTGTTTCATGCTACTAGGATAGTTTCCCAGCTAAACAAACAGTTGAGTTATTTGGGGAAAGACATGAGGAATGCTTCCAGGAAGGAGAAGATGAAGGAGTCGTAACTAAACCAATAGGGCTGGAAACTTTTTTTTTTGGGTGGAGATTGACCAGCATTATTGAACCTCAGGGCAAATCCTTCCCAATCTCATTTTGTTTGGAACCTAAGCATGACTTACAATGAAACTGAACCAGAAATTAAAAATTCTTTTGTGCTAGGAGCACTTCACTAGATCAGTAACTCTCCATTTGGCTGCTTGTAATGTGCAAGCTGCAGCCAAGACACACCACAATGAGCATGATACTTGATGAAATTCAGTTTAAAGTGTGTATATAAGGATATATGAAGTGCAAGGGAAAGACTAAGAATTGCTCCTATAACTTTAAACCCCTTAACATTTAAAAGATGGGCATATTTATTGTCTTCCACAAAAGACAAAACCTTTGCTTGGATTTTTTTAATCTTGCTTGCCAGCCTTTCCTCTTAGGTTGATAGGGGGAACATGCTGCCTTCCAACATAGCACCTGTCTTCTGCCTGCACACTTTGAAAGAGAGCCTGCTGCCTGACACTAACATTGAAGCTTGAACACACATCTGATTTACTAACCCCTCAACTACTGGTAGTAACTTACTTTGTTTAGAACACCTCAAACTTTTTCTACTCTCCCTGTATCTCCTCTAAAACTTGTATCTGGAAATAGATCTAATCTTAGTGCATGATCTGATGTGGGAGTATCTCTAGGGTGCCAAATGGATATGATTTTGTGTATATGGGGGGAAGAAATCCTCTATTAATTCTCTCTTACTAATTAATGTGTCATAACTGAAGTGTGTTGTTGCCTGTCTCCTGTATTGGGTGGTGGTCTCTTCAGCCTGCAGAAGTAGAGAGGAAGTTGCATAGGTTTGAGATATCCTTGCTTGAATTTTAACCACAGGTTTTGTATCTGTGAAGTTAACCATAAATGTTTCCACCAATAGGAAAGTAAACTTAGTGATTAAAAACAGTTCAACTGCTCTTTGTCTTTTGGAGTTCTGTTAATCTGGAGGGTGGGAGACAGACTCATGTGAGCCATTGGACTGCCTGGGTCTGCTTTAAAAGAACTGGTCTTTGCTCTGCTTGCATTTTACAACTCAAGCTTGGGTTGGTTAGGAATTGAGCCAGTAAGACCTGATCTTTTGTAAACCCTTTCACTGCAACAAGACTGACTTCCTTCATTGAAGAAATGTGAAGAAAACTCATATATTTGAGAAAGGAGGCTCAGAAATGCCCGAGAAAGCTGTATGTTTATTGCTCTTGTGTTTAGTACTTTGCACTTACTGTGCTGCAAGGTTCACCTTGCTCTGAACTGGTATGTTTAATAAGATGTCAAGATGTGTGATATCTATCCAACTGAGGGATAGCTTTCCTTGTTGAACAGGAAGGAGAGAGAGAAAAACTGTGGCTATTGTGCTTCCGCTGTCCATCCCATCTCACCTTGCTGCAGACCCAGGAAAAGACAGAGCCCAGAAAGAACCCACAGAAACCATGGCAGCTCCAGGCCCAGCCATTCCCAGTAGGTGATGTTTCAGCTAAAGTTATATGCTTTGAAACATAAAATTACATATACCTTTTTCTTTATTAGTCAAAACCAGCTGAGAATAATAGTCTCCCTGTTAAGATTTCATGCTGCTTAAAACTGGTACTTATATTTGCATATTAAACACCTTAGAAGTGCTTTTTAGTACCTGTTAGTCATGCCATGTGAAGGGCAATGTCTTGTTGCAGCTTCTGTATCATACTTGAATTGGCTGTTTGTCCTTATCTTGGCTTTCCCCTTCACTTTGTCCCACATGCAAGTCTCAGTTTTCAGAAAAGCTGGAAATCTGTCCTTATGCAACTCAGATTAATGACACTGTCTAGGTTTTTCTGGATGAACTTTCTGAACTGAGTGTTCAGAAGCTCATATGTCTATGGAGCTTTAAAGCTATGGAGCTTCATAGGAAATTATTGGGTAGAGGGCATGTGAGCCAAATGTGTTTTGAGTGAGGCTGAACCATGAGGTTCACGCTGTGGTCCAGCCTTCACAAGTCCAGATGGTTTTGTAATTCTCTTCATGGCTGTCTGTTCCCTTAAAAGATAAAGCTTGAGCAGCTGAGATAAGTGTTTGATGTTATGTCTAGGCCAGAGTTTCAGCTGAAACCATTTCAGAAAGAAGGGTGTCATGCTCTGAAGTTGGGGAAACAATCAGGACACAGGGTGTTTAAGGAATCCTAGATTTCATTCACTTGCCATAGACAGCTAGTGCTTCTTTTTTTTTTTTCTTTCCTCTCTAGTTACTTTGTTTTACTTTGTTGCTACCAAATCAAACATTGGACCTTGAAAGTTAGATTTATACCCCTGCTATTTTTGTTCAAGACTTTTTCCTACCTCCTGTGTCTAACAGCAAGCTAAATTTTTGTTCTCTAAGCCTTGGATAGGAGTGCATTGGATGTGCAAGTTTCCCAGATGCTACTGAGCTTGCTGAAAATACTGAATGCCTTTGGGCTGTAGGCTTATGCTCTTGTCAGATGTGTTTGATTGCAGTACTGACCACTGATTCATTGCAGATATTCTCACTTGCAGGCTTAAAAGGTGCTAGTTCTAACATTACAAGCAACCAAGTGTTATCTAGGTCTTGCTCAAATTGTTTGCATGTATTAACTCTTCTGGATTCCCAGACTTTGGTTTAGAATAGCTGTCTGCTGCAGCTCACGTGCTTGTGACAGCCCACATGTAAAACCATACTTCCAAGTGCTGAGTTCACACTGACAGTGGAGTAATCATCTGAGAATTTAAATCTGCTTCTTTTGGAGTCTGCTCTTAGTGATTCCTTAAGTCAAAGTCCATAAACCATTTTGGGAAAAGCTGTGAGAACTATGAAGGAAACTTTCTCTGTTCCATTCAGCTGCTGAAGATGCTCAGATAACCATTGTGTGAAGGATGAGAATAACCCTGTGTCTGTCCTTCCAAATACAGCTGCAGAGTGAATTTGGTGACTGCTTGCCTATGTTTTAGATAGAGAGTGGTATGGATGGAGACCAGGAATAGAAATGCAACTGAATGAGGTATCAAATCTATAGGGTAGTGATAGATTCCTAGCATAAGACAGAAACATTGGTGACTTGCAGAAGATTCTTTACTGTTCATTTGATTTCTCGATGATACTCTGAAAGTACAAATGTCTACAGTTGCACACTCTGATATTTCCTGGATTTTCAGGTCAGTGGTAATTAACTTTAGGCATTCTTAGTTTGAGGAAAGCAACTTTAATTAATGTTTGGAGCTGATGTGTTTCTAGAGTGTTGGGGTTTTTCACCCAAATTGCATTTCTTTCTTAGCACTATGTGATAATGATGTGAAAGGAGAGATGAAATTACTATGCTGTATATTTCTTCATTCCTGTAAGGCAGAAAGAAAAAAAGGAAATACATGTATTCTCTCTGATGGTTTAGTTGCTTTTTTTCTGCAGAAATGCTTTTTCCTTTTCATTCTTGATTAATGAAGTTCTACTTCATTCTTTATTTTTCTGAGTGTAGACTGTGGAAGCTGCTTGAATCTTTGCCAGTGACTGTCATGAATAGTCCTTATGTGACTTTGCCAGTGTGTTCAGTATCATCATCTATCTTCTTATTAATGCTCTATTCCTCCAATTGAAAATACAGCTGTGAATGATTTGAGGTGCAAATGTCAAGAAGTGGCTTAATGAATGCCTCAAATTAAGAGTATTTCAATGTGATTTTTCTTTCTCATGTGACATCTCTGCATCAAATCAGCACATCTTGTAAGTCACTAAAAGCCAATATAGATTACTGGTTTGTTAATATTGTTCTTGACTTTTATTAGGAAATATGATAAATTTTATAGAATAAAGAGTATGTTGGGAGACTCAGTAGGGCAGCATTAACTCCATTTGCCACGTGGACTCATGGCATTAAATGGAACAACTGTTTAGCAAAGGCTGTAATCTGTCTTGAAACAGATGACTTCCTGGGAAAAGTGAAAGGGCATATGCATATCAAAGGAGGAAATTTTTCATCTTCCTATTGTAGTCTTTCCTAAATTCAGCTTAAAGCAGTCAGTTGCTTTTCTACCATTGGAGGTAGCTATAGTTTTATTACGATGTGCAGATGCAGACTGCTGAGGTAAGCTTCTGGTGCTGGGCTGCAAGGGCTGAGCACTTCTGCTCCTTCTGTGATTGTTTAGGAGCAGGGAAAGGCACCAGGGACTGGGCTTTGTCTTATCAGTTTTCTTGGTGTTTTTCTTGATGTCACTTGGCAACCTGGAGAAAAAGGTTGATAAATGCATATGCAAAAGCATGAGTGGGGGTGAGGAGGAAACTGAAGCATAGGCCTGCATGCAGTCCATGCAGGGCTGTGCTGAGAAGCTCGGGTGGCCTCAGCTGTACCACTCCTGAACTTGCCTTTGCAGTCTTTTTTATTCCCTGGTTATTTAAATAGAAGATAATGTTTTCACCAGTTAATTCCATCACTGAAGAGGTTAAAGGGAAAATCCTATGGAAAGGATGTAACATTAAGTCTTTGTTTATCCAGTACTTTGGTTACTCAGTAGTCCTGACTGCTATTTTTTTAACCTTGCAATAAAAGCTTTCTTTTGTCCTTTTCAGTTGATCCATTTAGCATGACTTTTTTTTCATTAATTCTTTCTTGTCTCTCGAGTTCTAGCAGAATTATTTTACATTGGTGAACTTTTATAACTGTCCATATGTGTTTTCTTAGTCCAAGGTGAATGTGATGTGTTTGGCCTTTTTCATTGCAGAATAAGTTCTTTTACTTGTGGCCTTTGCTGTAGATGTAGAACTTGCATGTGAATAGTGACCAGGGCTTGGCTCATATAGATCCTCAATTCTGCAGAGACCAAACTGCACTGGACAGGATGAAATGTATCAGGGTGGTCTGAGCATCCTTGATGCTCTTAAGAATCATCCTTCTGTCTCTTAAGAATCATACTGATTTCTTTGACAAACACAAACATTTTGAATAAAATAGCGAAATTGAATCTTCTGCCTTCCCTCCTGTAGTTGCAATTAGCAGTTAAACACAGAACTAGAACTGCATGTAGCCTGTCTTTTAAAAAAAAAGGTTTAATTTTCTATTTCTGCTTCTTTATAGCTATATTGGCTGCAGATGCAAGAGGCAACTTGAATAATGCTAGATACTGTACACTGGACTTTAGGCTTCCTGGGTGGTCTGCATGGAGTTTTCAGACATGAGGCAATGCATCTCTCACTTGCAGCCTGGTAGCTGGATTTCTGTTGGATTCTTTGGAGGAATTTCCATGCTAATGCCAACATTGAATTTGGCACAGGATTTGCATAATTTATAGAAATTGCTATGCTTGGCTCTATTTCTGTTCATGTAATCCCAATTACATGCTTTATTATGAAATAGTTGTCAGTTCTTAGATTCTTATTCAGTTCTGATCTTCCTGGAAATGTAGAAATGCATTTTGGTTTTGACCTAAGATGACCTCTTGTTCTTATGATGCAAGATGGTGCATGATGAAACTTCATTTTCCCTGTTTGTTCACTTCTGTGCACTGCTGTACCACATTGTCAACTGAGATCTGTAGGTCCTTAGCACAGGTGATTGTGATCTTTAGAATGACTTGTGCTCTTCTAATAATGTTACTTTTATCCTTCATGGGCCTTCTGTGGGCTGATAATATGAAGTCTTGTTCAGATTACTCCATGATGTTCTTCCAGGGGATGCAAACTAAGTTCTTTATTACCTTTACTCATCTTTTGCTTTAAAAGCAGATCCTGTGCCACAGAGCATAGAAGTGTCTGGTCTGGAAATTGGTGCGTCAGACATGGCCTGGGCTGGATCAAACCTGCCAGCATGCTTAAATGTGAAGGGAGTTTTCCAGACTGTACCTGTGAGTGGCTCTGCATTGTCCTTCAGTGCAGAGACCCCCTAATGATTGGGGTGCTGGGGGAGAATCATCCTGATGATGTTGGTGGAGGCCAGCATCAAACCACACTTAACATGGCCAGCTGGTCCAAGCTGATTTTTGGTGAAGTCTTTTTACCTTATTCTCTCAGACTATTTTGATTAATCTTCTCTAATATTCCAGCACTTATTTATTCCGCTACATGAAAAAGTGGAGAAATATTTCTGTATATCAAGGGGTTAACTTGGTGAGTAAGGCTTTAAACTAAGGTTATGGGAGGAGGAAGCAACCTGTAAGGGCACAGAGAGATGGCATGAGTGCCAAGACAGGCTATTGCCACCTTTGTTTTCAATGGAGAAAGAGGTAGGAATGGGATTGCCCCTTTCTCCAGTTATGAGCTGTGTGATCAGTTCAGTTCCTCTCCTGTAATTGTCACACCCTGACCAAACTGTATTTTAGATTCAGTTGTACTTTGATTGTGTGGATCTGTGTTTCATCTTGTTTTAATTTAGACACATAACTCCAGACAAGGATTGCCTTTTCCTGCAGCTTGGCTCTGTGTGTTTGGCTTTCTTCAGATATTTGGGACTTTATCTGTCTTTTGTGAATCCAGGTCACTTCCAGCCAGCATGTGGGCAGACTTTTGGCCCCTGTATTTGTAGTGATACAGCTAAATAACACTGGAAGTCTGTAGCAAGACCCCAATTTTTGCTAAAAAGGAAGATATCTTTGAATCTGTAACTTTGGAGGGTCCTAGTGTCTTTCCTGGGGAAACAGCATGTGATAGAGATTGATTTCTAAGCTAATAGTAATGCTGACTTCTAAAAGTGCCCGTGAGGGTGAGATGGCCCATGGTGAGGGCAGCATTTCTTTGCCTGCAGTAGCTTGCACATCTCACCTGCCAACAAGAGGAAGGGGCATGGATGCTTCTGGTTTGATGTTACAGCCTGAAACTGTACTTACACCCTACTGAAAATCAAGAACATACCCCTGCATCTGGCTTGAAACCAGAAATATTGTTTTGTTTTGTAATACTTGTTTTTGGAAGTGCCTGTTGCAAGGTAGTGCAAAATAATTTCAGTGAACATGAAGACTTAAAGCCTAGGAAAGGTGAAACTGTTGTGACAAACAGAAGATAAATCTTGTGAAACATTGCAGTGGAGGTCTGTCCTTAGTGTTTAGCTCATATCTTTGGTTGCAAAGCTGATGAAGTGCTGAGTTAATAGAAAATCCAGGATGTTGTTGTAGTTATGAGGTTATGTATCTCTTATTGCATTTCCTCTTTTTGTATTTCTTGTTGGGAAGAAGGCAATGTTGGTTTGAATGAGATAAGACTGATGACAGATGGGTCAGTGGCTATAGATGGTTTTAAAAAAAGAGTTATTAAAAAAAATTCTTTGTGGTTTTTTGCTTAGTACAGATGTTAGTTTTGGGAGTCAGAAGGGTTAATAAAAATTGGAGGCATGTTTCTTTTTATGGAGTGGATACCTTCCTATGCACAATCCTACTGGTGGAGGAGGTGAGGTTGTACAGGACATAATTTCTTGTGGGAGGAATAAACTGGGAAGAAATTATGAGGAACACAGCACATGGGGGAAACAGAACTGTCAGTACGTGAAGAGTGGAGGAGAGATGCACAGGTGGAGTGGGGATGGTGGGTGGCACTCGGGTGCTGGCAGGGAACAGACACTATGTGCCAGTATCAAGCGTGCACGTGTTCTGCAGCTTCTGTTACCTAAGTGATGTCAAATAGAATACTTCCTTTGGCTCAGGAATTAAACCTTAATGGGATTGAAACCAATGGCACAGTTTACATTGGCCTGTCTGGTGCAATCATTGTGTCTGAGGTGCATGTCTAGGCTTGACTGTTCTGCTGGTAAATGAGAGTGAAAAGCTTGTGATCTTCAGTGGTAAACTACTGCACCAGAAATCCTAGGGGTGTCTCATGAGAAGAGTAATCTTGTATTTCCAATGAGGTCTTTCTAAAAGCTTGTGAGAATTTTTTTCTTGTTGTTTCTTTTAATCTCTGACTGGGTTATCTTTTACTTCTCTGTATTTTTTTTATTGTATAGCTGTGAGACCCAGGGGTCCTCAGTGTGAGGAGACCCCCGAGTTTAACCCAGCACTGCACCTTTTCCTTCTGTATCTCATGTGAATTCTAATAGTTTTAATTTTTGTATCCAGTGTTTGATTTACAAGATCACAAAATATTCAGGGATGTTGTATTTTGTACATGAGTTGCATATATTCTGAGTGATTTTGTTTCTGTAGCTGTCCCCTGTTCATGGCATAAACTGACTTTGCAGTTTTATGCAGTTTTATACTGAAAACACCTGAATTTTTAAGCATTTTTGCCACTGTGAGTGGCAAAAACCTTTCTCTTGAAGAAGAGCTGCTTGATTATGAAGTTGTGGGTTGGAATGGACAAGGAATGAAGAAAAATTTCAAAGCTCTGCATATCAGAATTTAGGAGGTATGTTTTTCATACAGTTTAGTGTCAAGATTATTTGTACAGCAAGCAGGAAAGCTTTGTTTATCACTGCCTAAGTGGTTTCAGTAATACTTTTTATCGCTCTGGATAGCTTGCTTAATTCTAGTGATTTCTGAATTAATGGTTACCCATGTGTTCTCTTGCTGTGGTATTTCCTGGAGACTGAGAAATGTTAATTTAGGAATACTTTGGAGTAACAATAATCTGTTAACAGCTGCTATAAGGACTTGCTGCTGTTCGGTTTTGGTGCCTTTTGCAGGGGAGACTCTTGCAGCTTTTATGATATTGTGTCCTTTGCTTTTGTTTTCCAGAGTATGACAAACTGGGCTTTCTCCTGAACCTGGACTCAAAATTGTAAGTAGAACAGTAGGATTCTTCTTCATTTCTGTAGTTACAGCTTTATGTTGTAAGCAACTTTTATGTCACCTGGGAAGCTGGCTCACTAAATTCTGCACTTCTTCCTGGGACAGCCAAGTCCTGCAGCAACCTGGCAATTACAACTCCTTTCCTTGCACTAGGCTTTGCAGGCCAGCTTGGGTTGTGGTTCACTGTCATTAATTCCTTAATAACTGATCAAGAGTCTATAAATACCCACTTGAAGCCACGACTGTCACTCTGCTCTAGATAGCCTTCTCTTAACCTTCCAAATGAAAAATGAATTACAGATGTGAAAGCAGAAGAAATGGGAATCTACAATTTCCTGGGATGCTTAGGAGTTTATATTTCTTTCCTACTTGTTCCTTTCAAAATGGATATTACTATTTTTGTTGATGAAATAGAGCGGAAGGAACCTCAGCGCAAGGCGGGGACCTCTTGCTATGTCAGAGGGACGCTGCAGTGCTGAAGGATGAAGATGCTTCTCGTGCTTTTTGCCTTAAATCAATCGAATTGAGCCTGGGTTGCCGAACACTAGGGGTCAGTAGCCACCCTGTTTCTGGGGTCAGCAACCTGACGGAATTTTTTGGTATTGGGAGCAAAAACACTGCTAAAAGCCTTCTACTTAAAAGGGCCCAGAACCAATCTCATGGCTTTGAATGACTTGAGAATCATCCCCTGCACAGAATGTCATGTCAATATGAACCCCATTCTTAATGTTTTGAAAATATCATTGTACCTATAGGGTGAAACAATTTAGTTTAATAATCATGAGCAGCCTGTGAGCTTCCATAATGGAATAAAAGCATCCTAAGTGTGTTGGGAATTGCTACTTGCAGGAGATGAGAAAGTTTCTAGGTAGGAACTTCTTTTGCAGATGCAGCTGGGTACATAAACTCAGTTATAGTAACATATGGCAAAAAGATTGCAGAATGCATATGAGAAAGAAGGAATATTGATTGTTTATTAATTTTCCTCCAAAGGCTCTGTATCTTGTTCAGTGGTCAGGAAGGATAGTGTTGACTGCATGAATAGTTCAAGGTTTCTTTCTGCTCTCATTCAATGTAGTGTTCTACACAGTTTTTGTTGCATGCTGTCTGGAACCCATGCTGGTGACATATTTACCCATTTTCTTTGTTAAATTTTCTGTGTTGGGACATCCTAGTGATTCAGGAACAATAGTGTGTGTACCCATAGATGAGATTCACATGATACATTATCTTCAATTTATACATGTAGAAGTCAAAGCAGAAAGACAAATTCAAAATTGTGAAGTCGATAAAGTAACCTTTGAGTGAATGTCTGGGTGTTGGACAGGGAAAATTTTTTTTAGCTTTTTAACTAGACTGATTGTTTTTTCCAGGCTATTTCTGTGTATTTTGTAATGTCCAATTTATTGAACACGCCCATTGACTGTCCACACACAGTTGTCATCCCAGTCTGTGCTGCATCCAAACCACTGCTTCAGTCTTCCTCTTCCTTCTCCTTCTGCTTGCACTGTCCTTTTCATTGTGCTTTTAGCAAATCCCTTGAGTCTTCCTTCCCCTCAGGCCTCTGTTCCATTCTTTTCCTCCTTCTTTGCTGACTTACCTGTTTGATTACAGCACTCCAAAGCACAGTCTGCTTTTTCTTATTTTTCAGCATGAGGCCAAGTGAGGTTTTTACCTGCTAGAGGGCTTCCAGAGCACTGATTTATTTTCTTAAAACCTAGCCTTTATAAACTTTCCATTGGTTTGATTAAAAAAAGATTTTGTTGACTACTTAAAAATATATATTCTAAATATGCACGTTTATTTTTCAAAGTCCTAGAGTTAACTTCTAGAAAGAGTTGTAACAAAATCAGCATGATTAAAATAAATACTACAAGTTAGCTTAAGGAAAAAGAAAGCAAGTACTATATGTAGGTGAAATAACTTTTTTTTAACTGCAGCTTTGTTAGGTGTTTGGGTTTTTTTGGTTTTTTTGTTTTTTTTTTTTCTTTTTGTTGTGGTTTATTTGTTTCTTCTGTAAAATTAAAGCTGATCCTGCTTTGAAAATAGAGCTGATGACCTGCAGACTTCACTTCTGGCCTGAATATTCTGAACTTTTTGGTTTTTTTTCTTTTTAATAGCATGGAAGACAGAAAATACCATAAAATGTAGGAAATAAATTTGGGAAGAAAAATGGCTGATAGTGTAGAGCTACCATTAGCTACCATTCTACAAGTTCACCTTTGTTGGTCAGAAATTTTGTGGTACCAAATTTCTAAGTACATACTGAATTCAGTGGAACTTAGTGGTTAAAAATACTTGCTGTGACTGAGTCAAGATGGTACCATCATAGAAGCACTTTCTGGTTTAAAAAAATGCTTAGAGTTGAAAGGGGTAATATGTTCTGCACTGATGACTTTACTGGCAGAAATAATTGAATTGTGTCTGTTGTTGTGATATAATCACTCTGGTGGAATCTTGCCATAAATCATAACTTTATAGGGTTCACTTAATTGACAGCATGTGAGAATCTTGTGTGACTTGAAGCACTTAGGGCAACAATTAGTTTTCTTTGCATTCTTTTTCTTAATCTTTCATTTGCTCAAAACCTGTTGCTGGCTGTGTCAGTTGATGTCATTGAAACTAGTGGCCCATAAGACCAACATTTTCTGCAAAGGTAGATCTGCATTACACCTTAAGTGCTCTGACTTGCATTTTGGATGTCATACAAAGGAAAACATTTGACATAACTAAATAGTAATGTGTCCATTTGCCTTTGCATCTTTAGTTTTTTTGTGCATTGCTGCTTGAATGTCCTCTACCCTGCAGTTGTCAGGGCTTTTATTCAGATGTAGTACAGTCTGCTGTGGTTACAGGAATGTGATGGCTTTGTTCTCCCTGAATTTGTGGGAATGCTAATGAAACCAGATTTGTTCACTTTGGAAGGAATTCTGTCAGAAGCACTTGAGTAGTGTTTTCTGTGGGATCTGATAAATGCCTGGCTGTAATTAGGGAGGCTGGCATGGACAGGAATCTCACCTGTGAGGGAATGGCCACTTTTAAAGATGCTATATGGAGGCTTCATGGAAATGACAGCTTCTGACCAATCTTGTTGGGAAGAAGAGTATTAAGGTGGAAGATGCTTCCGTTCTGGTGCCTGAGCCTGGGAAAGCTCTTCTTTAGAAAGTCTAACAGCTTTTAAAGGGCAGGATGGTATCCAGGTGGGGACTGTTAATGACACACAGGATGAATGGAAAGCTGAGGACTTCCATACACAATGCAGTTTATGAATGAGTTGTTCCCTTAGTCAAAACAAGACCTAAGTCTCCTTATGATCAGGTTAGTGAAAAAGATCTGTTGCAAGAGGAATTTATCTTTTAGTTATGTTTGTAATAACCATAACATCGTTACCAGAATTAGAATAGCAAAACAAAATATGCACTAAGTATAGAAACAGGCCAGTTGCATCTGTTTCTCCCTGCTAAAGAGTTTTCCCAAGCAGCAGGAACCTTTTTAAAACCTGTAAGGATACATTTGCTGGTTGTGCAGAGAAAAACACTTATACAAAAACTATGATAGAACTCACGGATTTTCATCCTTGGGGGGGTCAATAGTTCCTGAACAACTTAAGGCTATCAATCACTTTGATGACTCAGCCAGTGGATTACTGGGTGCCACCAAACGCCAAGATTTGCAGTCACTTCTAACATCTGTGCTTGGCAACGAGTTGCATGCTTTTGTTATTATTAAATATTTATATTGTAGTAGTTCTTTGAGACTGGCCAGGTCTTAGAAACAAGAGTCTCATTCACTACAAATTCTGAATCATTCCCCATGCAGAATCTATGTTTGCATTGAATTAAATGAGATTTCCAAAGGAGGATCATGAACGTGGAGTTAATTATAGACTGTATTTAATGCTTATTAAGTGGGCCAAGCTGAAGGTTGTATTGTCATTCTTCTGTTACTTAGTACTCTCTGAATGCTGGGTTTAGTCACCTTAATGACTGCTTTGTGTCTGCCTTGGCAGATTGCAAGTGTAGGTTCACTTGTGTTGAGCATATGAAAAGTTCATTTTTTGTAACCCATGTTATTTGGGGGCTTCTCCCTTGCATTGTGCTTCTGGGCCACCTTTCCTTCCTGCTCTGCTGGTCTGTCATTTCCTCAGTGGGATGGAAGCTTAGTGATTGCTTCTGCCCCTCTTTCAAACTCATCCTGCAGAAACTACTTTCATAGAGACTTCAGCAGGTACATTGGGGGTTTGATGCTTCTAAACAGAGAAAAGTTCCCATTAGGAACTTGGCAGATCTTTTCACCTTCCACCATAGTCAGTTCAAAACCTTGGAAGTCAAGATCTCAGCTAATGAATGATGGAAAAATCTTCCCAGGGCTTGACTTTGACTGGGGAAGAACCAGTCCCTCATAAAGTTTAACGAATGTTAGGAGATACACGTGAGTTTCATGGAATCATTTTGCACTTAAAACAGGGGGTCTTATCATTTTCTTTCAAGGTAGGAATAGGAAAAAAAAAATTGTTGCCCCTCTCAACTGGAAAAATGGTTATATCATCACTATGGTTAATCACAATAACATAATATTAGCATATATGAGTACACCCTATTAACTATATGATATATATTTATTATTGGTATATATTTTATATTGTGTACTTTGGGAATCTTTAGGCAGAATTTAACTAAAAGAAGGAATATTTTTTCAATAGGCTTTGTGTTTTGCTAGACATTTTGTAATGTTGTGTATTTACATATTTCTTCATTATGGAATAGATTGGGAAAGTGCAACAAAGATTTTTTGAATATTCATGATGATTTCAACTTTGTGTTAAAAAGAAAAGACAAAAAAATTGTCTCTTGTGGGGGGGGGAAGGCAGAAATAACAACCTTCACCCTGCAAACTCAAATGAAACTTGATCTAGACTTTGAAAAGACCATAAAAATGGAGGGAGTTTGGGCTAGGGAAACACACAGATTGGGTTACTTATGTTTGTTG